AAGCCCTCCTCTGAACGACCACTAAAAAGCACGGTCGATAACTAGAGGTTTATGTGAACAGAAAAGTCATCACTGGGCTGTAGTATATTGTTTTCTAGAATGACCACGATAATCTTGCAAACTGAGTGAACAAAGTCCTATCAGCTTACCTATTGTAGCTATTAAACATATCATTCTTAATATACAGCCTAAATTGAGGTCTTAGTGATGTGATAATACAATAAGCCATATAATGTGGTTGGAGTGATACATTAGGGATTATTCTTCCTTTATATTATTGTATAAATGCACTACCTATGTGATGTTATTCACTTTAAGCTCGTTATAAAGTTCTACACACGCTATGAAAATAAACAAACAAATCTATATCACGAAGCGTCCAAAATTATACAAATATTGACAACCACCCTCGCTCTGAAGGACTTCAGAACGAGTCTTGACAATAACAAAATAATTTTCTTTCATAAATAATACATTATTCGTAAATCGAGCCAGCCAATTGGTTGAAGATATTCAGAACTACTCACATTGATACGAACTGATATGAATGTACGAGTCCATATTAAATGATAAAACCTTATCCATAAAATACGTTTCTTTCAGGGTTAGTATGCTAGTGTTAGGATTATCTGACTAATAGTCGTGTCATTTGTCGTTCAAGACCATTATTCTGCAAGTATTACGAGACATACTTAACGAATTGGTATTCTGCACATATTTTAAAAAATCGTTCTTCAGAGAGGAATAAACTTTCTCCGTCGTGGCTATTTTTTTCTTCTTTTTTTTTGTAAACACTGGTGAGAATCGATTTAAGACAAAGTCACAGAGTTTTTTAGTCTTTTACTGTTGCTGTTTTTTGTTGTTGTTGTTGCATGGTATTCAAAATGCTAGCGTGCTCTAGTCCAATGAAGTATGGGTGACATATTATAGTTTCATAGTAAGTAGTTTTTCAATGTGATGAGGTGTATTGTAATGATTGCTGTGCTGTGGTCAGGTGTGTTGTATTATAGGCGAGGTGAGGTGAGGTGAGGTGAGGTGAGGTGAGGTGAGGTGAGGTGAGGTGAGGTGGTCTGTTTTGATCTGTCAATGGTACTGTCTTTCTAGTAATGGTAATAGTTTTAGTTTTAAGTTTGTATCCTTGCACTGTCCTGTGAACACCTCATTCCAATGATGTTACCACAAGTGCACGTAAAGTCGATATTATTGACGATGTTGGCGTACTATCATAATGGACTAAAATGTCTTGAAAATCATGTCTTGTTTCAAGAACCAGACTAACACGCCAAAATCTCTTCTCTCCATCAAAACTACATCGACATATAAATGGTTTCTACTCATTTCCCACACCGTTCGCAGGCGAAAAATCTCATTGATAAGAATAAAACCCCTTACTAAGCACTGGATATATTGTATGGTAAAACTGAACCGAGTGCAGTGAATATTAAGATAACCTTAGCTATAGTGTTTCAGTTTGCCAATATTCTTAAGCTATAGTCATCGATAATAAAATCGATTCGCTAATATAAAGATAGCAGAAAGTGAATCAAACAGTAATTAATGTTTTATATCGGTGCAACTAACGCGAAATCACGTAACTTTGCTCGATAAACAGCAAACAGGTGAACTTTAGTGCCAAAAGGTGAACTAAAGCATGAAAACAACATTATATTAAGAATAAATGAAAAACAAATGAGAGAAAGGCCAAACTAATCGAGGACAAATAACCTTGGTAACCACTTCGCATCGAAAGTAGCAGAGGTAAAGACCAAAATAGCAAGAAGGAGTGATACGGTTTTTCATGTTCTTACGTATTGTAGTTTCGGCTCTATAAATTGTTCAAGTCGATTTTTTGTTACCGGATCTGAACGCGATGCAAATGATAAACCCATGGATTTAGCAGTGAATTGACAGCTATAAAACATAATGGACTAATATTGCCCTGGGCTTGAAACTGTTGAATTTAACTCAGTTATCGTAGTCAATGTGCAGAAGGACGGTTCAGAGATAGTACACAAGACCGTGGGCTGCTATTTTCTACACAAGACGTTCATCGTTCGCTGTAAGCCGCGGGCTTTTCCTATAAACAAGGTATGAACATTTAACACAATCATGATTCACTAGAATAACCTAAAGAAGACAATTGATCTGGCTACGTTTCAGTGATAAAAAAATTAACGAAAACAAAAGCGCGTTTATTAACCCGAGGTGGTGCGCAGTAGCGTCAACAGTTTTTTTTGCTTTTAGCTCACAGGCGCTCGTTACCTCAATGGCGCCCGTTAATTACGCGTGGTACGAGGCGGTTTATAATTCTGTAACTTAATATTTAAAAAAACAAAAACAAGAAAAAATGGATAACATGCCCTCCTTCTCGGCAGGTGATACTTACATCGTTTTTTTTTTTAAGTTTACGAGAGGAAAAATGTAAAGAGAATTCACAGCTGAGATTTCTTTTTCACAATGTTATGTTTAGAGCACGAAGGGGTACAGCTAAAACGCTAACATTATGTTGAAAAAAGGAAATTWAAAAAAGGTTTTTTAAATGTTTTATATCGAAAAAAGTTTTTTTTGTGTGACTTAAAACTGAGTCATTCGATTCAATACAGGGTAAGACAGATCCACTCGTATAAATGTCTTAACATTTGACATGTACACCCCGTTAACAGAAACTAGTGAGGCTTATGCTATAATACTGTAAGGACCTATACCGCCATGATATTTATACAGGATACAAACTTCCTAAGAGAAAATTTGTACCATACCATACTTATAGACCCTTCAATTTGGAGGACAAGACAATGGATTCTAATTCTCATGAGGGTGAAATCCTCCTGTTTTGTTCTTTGAATGACGCTGCTCTGGGAATCGGCTACAAGGGGTCTATCCAAATAAAGTATACTGTCCATTTATGAGGAAAATTGTGTGGGTTAACTAATCTATACGAGATAAAAGTTGAATGTCATGCTAAGAAATACCATGATATTCAAACACTGGCTCACAATGAGAGAAAAAAAATTATATCGATTTCCTACAGGAATTTTGTACTCAAAAAATGAGGGTAAAAATTACAATGATATCTATAGTAGATGCAGGCTGTCATAAGGATTTATAACACGACATCTATACAGGATATAGGTTTGGTACTGATTAGTATAATGTATAACATCTATAGATAATACCCAGTAATTTTCTAAGCACCATACTCATCGTGCATAATACCAGATTTCTGCCATGATAACTTTTCAGATCGTAAGCATTGAACCCCCTCTTTAATCGGATTGAAGATAGTTCAATCTAGGACATGTTACTTCAATCTAAGACGATCAGCTGAATGTTTTCCAGGAAAAAGATTTAGGGAGGAGAACGATTACTATAACAACGTAGATCGATGAGGCTACCAGAAAAGACAAAAGCCAATAGACTTCTATAGACAAGGACTACCATTGTCTTGGCTTTTGAAACTGAGATTCAAAACAAAAAGTAAACTAATCTCAAGGAAGGGCTAACTCACCGACCGAACTTTGAAACGACATCTCGGCTGCTTTCTGCATTTCCAGGACTCGATGATTTAAGTCCTCGCACCGACCGAACCCCGTGAAACAACCTCTGGGCTAATCAATGTCAGGGCACAGCTAACTAATTACAGATCGAACCGTGAAACAACCTCTGGACTGATCAATGTCAGGGCACAGCTAAATTACAGATCGAATTCGAATTCAACTTGTTAGGTTTTGCGGATGAACGAAATCTCTCGAATCAAGGACGAGACCTAACGAATTCTACTCACATGCGATCGAATGTGAGACGAGAGGATGAGAGGCGAATCCTCTACTACCACACCAGCCTTGATTCTCTAAGAACCTAATCTAGGAATAGCTTGAAAAGGCCCTGAGAAAATGTTTTGATGGAATGAATAGAACACCCTGCAGAGAGTGAGAGGCGACTCTTCTATCGCTACACTACCCTTGATTCTCTATAAGACTGAACCCAATCTAGGAGCAACTTGAAAATACCCTGAGCAAACGTTTTGATAAAATCAGATGGAATGAATAGAACACCCTCTATAGTCATGTTTCTTATTTTGTCCCAAAAATGACATTTAATAACGAATAATGGATTTAAAGGCACTCAATCAAGTATCTATGGCCTTAGGTCATGTAAAGACACAACGCGTTTTGAACAACTATACTTAAATATAGTTTTTTTCCCCATTTGTTGTCGGCTAATGTTTGCGTTTTACAATAAAGAACGACGATACGAAAATTCTTATGTTTCAAAAACAATTTAAGGATTAATTGAAAACAATACTTAAACCTTTTTCGAAATTAACCTCTGAATATATCACGTTTTGGTTAATTACCAGAGAAAGTTTACTTTCGATTACCTGGATTTTCTTTATTTGACCAGCAAAAGTAGCAAAGTTGCCAAGTTTTTTACTTACCTAAACGAGTAACGGGTCTTGAACTTTGCTTTTATTGACTTGACTGTACAATACTTTCCTCCACTCTCCTTAGCTGGATTGAGACAGAAAAACACAAAAAAGTTAGTCTATATACATATGGTTTTCTTATCCGTAAGAGAGTAACTGATTCTTTTATCTTTGACTGGCTTTATTCCAAATAGATGGGCTTTTATAAAGCTATGGCACACGGATAACGATTCCGCGCACGTTCTCAGCCTAAAGGCAAACATTCCTTGACAGCTGTTTACATAATGTCTAGAACAATAAGATTCAAACGCGCTTGCGCAATAGACTCCAGATTTACTATCATTCTTATTTACAGTTCATTAAGGTGACTAGCTGCCTTTGGGAAAAAATAAACTTTTTCCAATAACATTTCGAAGGTTATTTAGCGGGTTTGATGCACGCGCACATCGTGGGCTCAAATCGCACGTTCAAAGGTAGGCAGTCATCTTAATTTTAAGAAAAAGGAGAGTTTTGGTTACTGAGCGCGACACAGATGGAAACAAAAGGACGGCTACAGGACGCCCAAGTACACGGTGAACAAGCTTTAAGGACCATTCAAATCTAACTATAAACTATATATAAAGTCTTATGTAGAGAATTGTTATTAGCTACTCGCTAATTCATTTGATTAAACAGCATTTCAGGCTAGGATCACGTCTTCAGTACTGAAACTTCAGAATTTTTGTCAAACGTTTTGACTATGAATCAATGAAAGCAAAAACCGCTTGTTTCTAACTTCTATCTCCGAACCACCCAACATAAATATCACAAAATCATAATTTGTTTTATCGTAGAGATATAAACTAGAGTCGAAGAATAGTTGATAAACTATGGTTGAAGTCAGGATTCATTATACTACTTGAAACTCAGTGTTTATAAATCAATCTTAACTACTTTAAATACATCTAGAATGTTGTTGTACGTGGAGACCATGATTACTATATAAAATTTGTTTCTACCGCGCCTTTTTATACAAATGCCTTTTTATACGTCTTTACATACGTTTTTGATGTAAAAGAAATATTTATTACGTGGAATTATTTCTAACACAATTTCACAATAGAAAGCCCATTGAACTGACTAAACAAAGAAAGGGGAAGCTACAAAGACTTAAGAGTAAATGTAATTACCTATAAGTACTGACTCGAAATCCTGGCTTTTGTCCTGGTATTTGTTCAGACGAAATATGGTTTTGTCCAGGAACCAAAGTCATACAGTGCTTTATTTAATGGACTTTTTGATAAACAAAAACAAGCAGTTTAATAAGACTAAAAAGTTGATTAACTGTAAGAAACATTGAAAATTATAAAATGACTATGTTTGACTCAATGAGCAGCACAACACGGCACGTGCGGGAAAATGGACGTGCGCGCGCCTAACGTCTAAAGCTGTTTTGTTTGGGCTTCGAGCAAGGGAGCACGTTAAAATTTTGATTGTGTTGGTTTATCTTCGATTTTATCGCACGTATTCTAAGATATAGCAGGCGTTCCTTGTAGTTCTTGTTTACGTGCGCGCGYTACACTTCATGGCAGGCGTTCCTTGCTTTAGTCGGGCTAGCGAAATTACTCCGAAAACCGACGAATATCTTGCGAGGAGCGGAGCGACGTGTACACTCGTCATTCCCTTCCTTACACGATCGTAAGCCATTCGGATCGGCCGAAACCAAAACACTACGAGGAACGCCTGTCACAAGATGGATTGCGTGCGCTAGATAGATCAACCAAGAACAATGACTTTCCTTACACAAACAAAATTTTAATGTGCTCCTTTGCTTCGAGTATCGAGTCAGACTTTTAATTGCGCGCGCAATTTAAATTTAAAATCGAGCACGCGCGACCATTATTGTCACGCGTATAACATCATTGTTAACAGAAAAATGCTAACAAATTCAGAAATACTTGATTAAACAAGAACGAAAATAAAGAGTATTCAAGATGGATTCTCTTCCTTGCGAGGTAATTGCTCAAGTTTTTTCTAACGTTCATCCAATCTACTCTGACTTGTTGACGCTCAGACAAGTCTGTTGGAAATGGAAAAGAATCATCGACACGACTTGTCACCTTTGGAAGCATATTCACTTGGACGATGACCGCGACTGTATTACAATGGATCGTGGTACTACCGAAAAGGATTGCAAATACACAGCAATTCTGGGCTTCTGTCTCAGAAAATACGGACGGTTCATCCAGTGCATCAGAGCTGAAGATCAACCATTTTTAAACAGCCCAGAAGTGCGCAAGCTCATTCCACGACTAGAGAACTTGCGCAAACTAGATGTACCTTGGCTAACCTGGTCAAAACAGATGGCAGAAAATTTCAAAAGTAAATCACTGAAGCACGTGACAATAGATGACTGCATGATACAAGAGCATCTATCTGCGTCTTGTCTCGAGAGACGAAGAGCAGTATCTAGAGGTTTGAAAGGATGGGATCTGAGATTCCTTTATATGTGGTTTCCGAACCTTGAACATTTAGGTTTGCATACAAGCATTTACAAGATTCGTCGTGGAAGTATAGTCTCGATTCTGGATCCCATGGTCAAGCTGAAAGAAATGAGTTTGGAGTTGACTCCCTATGCTCTTAAGCCTGGAGACGAGGAACTGAGTAAYGCTACTGGGGTGCCGCCCGTTCGAGAGATTATGAACTCCAGACACTGTTCAATCCTAACGAGTCTAGAGTTGAGGTACTTAGCTTTATCATCTAAAGACTTGATGGACTTCACAAGAGGGTTAACACGGCTGAAACACCTAGTTGTGGGCTCTATAGCTTCTATGAACAACGAGGTATTCAACACAGCACTGGTCCTGGAGTCTGCGAGTTTGGAGGTTCTTTTCTTGTCATCTTTGCCAAGTTCCTGGACACAAACCATCAAGATTTCCATGCCAGATTTAGAGGTTCTGGTTATCTCTCAGTGCATTGAGCTCATTAGCTTAGAGCTTCTTACAAGTAATCTAATGACGCTGATATTGCGGGATAATTTGTCCCTTAGCAACATATCTGCCAAGTGTGAGTGCCTCACTGATTTCGAACTGTTGGAATGCTTTGAATTTGACTTGGAAAGTTTCAAAAAATTTATCAAAGAATGTTCGAACCTCATGCGCCTTGAGCTGACCGTCGAATGGAAATCGATTGAACTGACCAGTCAAGACTGTCCAAACCTGAGAAAATTCATTATCAAAGATGCTGATTTGCTTCTGAGCCGAGTGAAAATCGATTGCCCGACACTAGAAGTCTTTAAGTGTATCAGTTATTACGCACCAAGGAAGAGTTGCAGACGATATGCTAATAAAGAATGCCAGTTTGAAATCATTTGCGAGGATCTCAAGAAGTTCCACATCAGTGAAGTCTATCACACTACAGAGGTGCGTGTCCAATGTCAAACCATTGATACTTTTGATTTGATTGGACGAACACTCGTTCTCAGACCGATGGAGCTCTATATTACGGCCACGCGTAGAATCAACGTTATTTCCCTGAAAGACCTTAGTATCAAGTCAGTCAGGATTTGCTGCCCAGTGGTCAGTGATATTATATTGAACACTTGCTATATGCCCAATAGTAAGAATAATTCATGTAAGATGAAAATCAAATGTGAAGACCTCAAAGCTTTACGGGTAATCGATTGCGATCGAATCAAGAAATTCGCGTTGAAGGTCCCACATGTTGAAAAACTGTCACTTGATTCCTGCACTAGGCTGTGTGACCTACACATCGCTAAGGTTTCTAAAGTCGATCAAGTAAGGATTGTCAACTGCCCACTTTTAAACTCCACCAATGTTCTATACAAATATTAACTATCTATCTTTATTAGCCAGGAATAGAAATAAATCAGAAAGTAAACAAAAGCTAGTGGTATCGTTTCCATTTTCATATTCTCATTTATTTTTAAAAAATGACGGAATGCTTGAAAACAAATTTGTAAAGTTAGTACTCAAATTAGTCCCATATTTCATGTTTCATACTTATTTCGACTGTCCTACGATTTGTATGAATATTATCTATTTTTTAGTTATATGTTATTGCATTCTTTTCGTTTTCAAATAAAATGTTAAAATCAATGGCTTCTGCGATTATATTATTAATGTTTATGATTCTATTAGTACTTATTTTTTTAAATAAAAATTTAATTCGTTAGTATAGGAGATTGTACGATCTCGAGTACAATTCGAAATTTATAGGCACGAGTGATTTTTTGAAAGTTTTCAAAATTGGACGAGAATTTAGACGAGTTCGATTTGAGAACTTTCAAAACCTCACGAGTATCTACAAATTCCGAATTGTACGAGAAGATTGTGTGATTTTTTTGTTTATAATACACTCAAAAAATTGATCAACTTAATTGGGACTCTACAAAGTACAATTTGGGATTTAATTGTACTCCTCTTGTCTAATCAGAATCGAGTAATTTTGTTAGAGTGTATTACAATAATAATGTATATGTTATTTATAAAATGTTGTGCGGCTAGCTACACTTATATTTTACCGACCTCATTCTGCGATACCCATTAACCCGGACATCGACACCTCCATTAACAATTTCTATAATGCTTAACTCAAACAACTCAGTAATATCAAAATATGTCATCCAAAAAAAAAAGTTAATCCATATTGCCACATGCGGATTGACGTTTTAACGGCTTTGAATACATTGATGCGGTGATGACGTAACTATGAGCTAATCCTTACGTCACAAAATATTCTAATGGCGCAAGAAGAGCGTAAATGATAAGTCGATCCATATAATCACAATCTTCAGATATATTTCATATATTAAGCTTAGTTTTTCTATAATTTTTCACTATATTATTTATTTCTTTATTATTTTTTTCATGGGCTTTAACCTAGTTGGCGCTTGCTCTGTTGTTTTTATCCCTCGCTGAGATTTTATGTTTGTTTGTTATCATTGCTATTTATTAATTAGTTTTTCTTGTTAATTTTTTCGTATCATTATCATTCAGTTTTCTCAGTTGAAGTTTAATATGAAAATAAATAAAATATATCTTTCCTTATGACGTCACTACAACAATAAAAGACATCATTCTCGTCCTAGACGTGCTCGTAGAGCTACCCCCCCCCCCTCTCTCTCTCTTTAAAGAAAAAATAGAATTTTTTTTTTCAAATCGAATACAATAGCACGAAGAAATCGTAATAAAAAGTACGGCGTAAAAGAGGAGGAATACATGCATTTAAATAAATGGATTTAAAAAAATTGAATAATTGAATGAGATAGGATGCAATTGGTGAATGGATGGAACTTTTATTAAGGGCCCAACTTTGTCAATTATGACACATAAATGCAATCGTTTCGTTAGAGAATCTTGATAGATAATCTAAAGATAGACCATGCCAAAGATACACATCGAGACTTTATTGGAATTGTGCTACTGCATGGGGAGTCGTAATTCTCATAATCAATAGTTGTGTGGTTTTTCGTAATACTGAGGTTATGAGATACCTATATATTCCCTCAGTCTATATCCCATCTTATGTTCTTAATAGTAATATTCAAAACTAATATTTATATCTCTCATGTCTAGACATAAGCGTTTTTTCCATATGTGTTTTTTCCATGATGGATAATTTTTTCGGCATGTGTAATTCAGACTTATTTATAATTATTAGTTTTGCTGAAAATCTATTAAAATGTTCCTGGTTAAAGTCAATATAAAGTTACTTTGACAAAGTAGCACTCGCTATGTCTGTGGGATTGCGCGCTAGCTCGAAAGGATGCGCACAAAACGAAATGAAATACTCTTATTCACTATTTATGCGAATCGTATCATTCCTCTGAGAGTTGCCATTCTTTGGGCAAATTAAAGAGAACATGTATCCTAGACAAGGTTGACATTTTGACAAGTATGCTACATTTTTGAAATAGGTTTTTCTGGACACCCCGAGGTCAAAGAAAAAATGCCAATAAAATCTGATAAAACGCTTTAAAATATCAATTCAATCTTTACCTTTTTAATTTTTTGTCCTTTTGTGTCTTTGAGCTATGAAATCTAATATCTAATCAAGTTCTGTTGATTCCTAAATAGTCTGACCAAGACGTTTGTTAAATGCTTCATACAGAACTATTTATTGCAGTGCATGAAAGAAAATACCATTTACAACGATATAGCTTCGATTATTAATTGCAAACATTGTAACTTGATATAGCTTTAGGCCTTTTAAATTCATTTTCAGTTCAAAGTCATAGTCTCAGACGATAGTTACAAATAGATCCTTCGATATTTTTTTAGCTTTTTTGCGCATTCGAACTTGAAGAGTAATAAACTGATTCACGATACTGTTGAAAAGGGTCGAAAAGAATCAAAGTGGAAAATTGTTTTTTCTTTTACATTTTAATGTTGAACATTTTTCAAGTATCAATCCTTGCCCACTCTAACTCCCTCCTCACATCTCCACTATTTCGAGCGTAAAGTTACGATTCTCTAGTGTGGATGGGTGCACGAACTTGGGAACAAGAACTGTGTATCATTATCTATATCAACGACGCTTACACTTGAACGTTACGTTGCATTATTCACATCTAACGCACTGTGCAGTTATTTGATTTTAAGGTTCTAGGTGCCAATTTCATCGATAATATCTTCTCAAGAAACTGATTTTTTATATACTTTTGGAGGACCAGATTGGGTATCTATTCTATGACTTTATGCGAAACTCGCATAGAGAACCAAGGACCTAAAAGATCATTTTCTGGACGAACTATTTGATAGTGGATGAAATTAAATTGTTTCCTTCCTCACCGGTTAGGATTTGGAGCAGTATCATATTCCTCTCCCAATCTAGTGAACAGATTTCACTGGCGTCAAAACATCCTGAAATCGTTCATGTACGAAAAGCCGTCTCTTATCATAATCATGAAGCTCTTATTAAACTGTATTTTTTAATCAGTTTTTCGATCTGACTCTACTTTGCATTAATGCCTCTCGAAATGAATGAAGCATGAAGCACTAAAAACACTACAAGATTCGAACAAGTCGAGATAAAGAGTGCTTTATGTTCAATTGTCAAGTGCGGTTGGAAGTACCGAAAGACTGAATCAAATTACCAAGCTGTTGCAATATTCATGAATGTGTTTCTTCAAGTATATAACGCGAAGCTTTGTTTTAGTTACATTAAATCGAAAGTAAATTTTATCTAATCCGTGTTTGCGCATGCGCACATATGGACCATTCAAAAATCATAAATTTAAGCAGAAATACTACAGCACCCTAGTGGTAAGAAATGATGATTTCCAATATTTATAGAAAGAAAACTAAAGAAAAATAGAATCTATACTGAATACAAAAAGGTTCGAACTCGCACAGGAGTTTAACTTTTTTTCATTCTAAGCCCTCTTACTAAATAATCTTAGAGAATTGAGAAAAAATCAACTTGAAACAAGACTTATATTTTTTCATTTATATTTCAGGGTTCTTCAGGGGATAGTAAAATCCAACCGAGGTCTTATTTAACTGCGTAAAGATGTGGTCCATCTATAAATAAACCAAGTCGTGAAGTCCAGTACAACTGTCAACAGTCACATTCGACACGAAACAAGCTTAAAATACAGGGAAACACAAAGTACCGAACTAAATAACAAGGAATAAATCACCGAAACCACTCCATTGCTATACGAATTGGTGACCTAATATCAGTGTATGAGAAGCAGACACCTGCTATTAACTAGACATAGAATAAGGTAAGTAAATGAGGAGCGTTCGGTGCAGGAGGGCGGTTCAGATAATGCTTCTGAACCCACTTAACTGTAATTGAAACTCCTAAACGAAAGCTACGGATTCCCTGATTAGAAAAAATATAGCCGGTGCAAAAATATAGCCGGTGCAAAAATATAACCAGTGCAAAAAATATAGCCAGTGCAAAAATATAACCAGTGCAAAAATATAGCCAGTGCAAAAATATAGCCAGTGCAAAAATATAGCCAGTGCAAAAATATGGCCAGTGCAAAAATATGGCCAGTGCAAAAATATGGCCAGTGCAAAAATATGGCCAGTGCAAAAATATGGCCAGTGCAAAAACATGGCCAGTGCAAAAATATAGCCAGTTTTGCGAGGATGGATTCAGAGGGTAGACTGGGTAGCTAGGCACCCCTATCATGCAGTCGTTAAAATAGGAATAAAGAATATTATAACATTAAAAAGGGAAAGTATTTACTAGCTTTCTAGGTAATATTCTTTTTGGGATCATCCTGATCGAATCATCCACTTATTTTGATATGGCCTAAACCTCACATTTCAAAACCCTTGCCAAGACCCTAGAACTATACCTACACACGGTAATGAGAAATAGAGTTAGTAGTGAGTTAGAGTTCTATGACGTGCGTTCAAGGTTAATTTAGTCCCTCCTGGAAATTCCCCATGATGCATTTTGGTCACTATGTGCCAGCTCTCCTTGTAATATGTGTTATTTATCCATGATAACTTTCTTTAAATATCAATGAAAGCTTTTTGTGTATTTTGAGACTTTTTTCATCAGTATTTCAACCTTCTATCACATCTCTCTTTGTTGGTTATGCGATCTATTCCAACTGATAACCACCATTCATTTATTCTTGTGTCTTTATCTGGACTGAATCGCAGACCTGTGACTACATCACCGGAAAACATTATATCTTATCTCTCTTGCAAAACAATAATAATAACAATAATCTTTCATAACAAGACACCGATAACGAAAAACATCAAACCGTCTTCAGAAACGCTTTTTGTAACAAAAATTTGTTTTCTTTTTATCTTCTATTTTACTTTCCTAGCCTCTCTTTTATTCAATTATTCATTCTTTCTTTTTTCTTAAACGAAAAAATAAATATTTAACGAGAATTTTTTTCTTCAGTCTAATAATATCTATATATCAAAATAGGGAAGAAACCAAGTGTTATATTTATAGAAGCTTTATAGAAATAGCATATAAATGCAATCCAAACCAAAATGGTCAAATCTCGCCAGAATCCTAGGGAGTATTACAAAAAATCTTTTTTAAATACTTTTAATCTTTGGACAAAAAAGGAAAGTGACGTATACCTGAGGTCCTTTCCAACGAAAAGTTGCTTTGATGATTGACTTCGTGTGTGGCTTTCTATACGATCAAAGTAAGTGAAAGTTCCCTTCATGTTAATTGAAAGTAAAAAAATCAAATCTCAACGACAATTATTTATTCGTTCTTATATTTGCTTTATTCATTACTTCATCTAGACATTTGGCGTTCATCCGACGTACTTAGCTAATGCAACTGAACTTGTTTCATTTCGATGATTTACTGATTGGCTAATCTAACCAAATATTTAACCAAAATAGACTCTCGGGCAAATATCGAAAAAATCCATTAAACGAGAAACAGGAATACTTTTAACTTCCTTGTGATATTCTTTATTGAAGCCTCAAAAGACTTTGAAACAATAGTCATAATTTAAACTAGTGAATTCTCACTTTCTTAATATTATTGTCTTATACTTTTGATAGTAACAATTTTTAGTCCACTAAATTTTCATGACTTTCGCCGATTTTTTTTTTTTTTTTTTTCATTTCAGGATTTTTCGTGTACGATTTCACTTTTTCTCGTTTCTCTTTTCTCTTTTTCTGGCAATCTTCATAAATTTTGTATTATTCTCCTCTACAAATMGAGGTTTATAGCTTTTGTAATATTATGTTGGATTTTCATCGAGTATATTTCAAAAATCAATAATAGCAACAACAAAAAAAAAAAAAAAAAAAAAAAAAAAAAAAAAAAAAAAAAAAAAAGCCGGATAATGCGGTTCTATGAAATATTAAGAAAATAAATCGAATCTTTGCCTTGGACTATATGACAAAACATAAAAACCTTACAAGTGACATTCAGCACCAGTTAAATAACTTTCTTTTTGCAATAAAAAATAATCGTGTATATAGTCAGTGTATACAGTTCTTGTCAAAATGCGCATGCGTAAAACTTTCGCTAATAGATACGTATTTGCTAAAAATATTTGAATTGATTTTGAGCGAATAGTCTATTTTAACTTACAACCATGTGCCGTGAAAGTAAGTGAGAGAGAAAATGTTGATTCAGAATATCAATATTTTTTTCAAATTTGAATTTTTGTGGTTGCGTTAGACCAATTGACTTGTTAACTGAAAATATATAGCCAAAACTAAGAATTAATAATTTTTCGGCCTGTTGGCTTATATCGCTTTTTTTACCAACTATATCTTCAATAAATCCCCCATTATATACAATAAATGCCCCATATTATCCGCGCTTTCTGAAATTATATTTACGGAAAAATTCTGTATTGGGAATGATAAGTTGAAAACTTCTGTTAACGTTGGTATCTTCACTTTTAGATTTCAATTCTATATTTTCGCCACTGTGATAAAAATAGTTTCGTGATGATCACGTGACCCAATACCGAGTCAATATTGTAAAGGTAGTTAATTCCCAAATAGTAATGTCATTTGTTAAATATATTGCATGGCCATTTTATTTTGGGAAAAACTAAAAATATTGGGCATATCAACCATTTCTTTTAAAACGTTTGAAGTAAAAAGAGGTTGTATAAATCATTGGAAGTTGATGTTTATAGTCGAGATAAATGTAAAAATCTATGAAGTTGGCCGCTGCTAAGAAACGAACTTGTTGTTTACAAACTATACTGAGGTCAGTACAACATATATTGCCACAATTAGAAAGTAATAAAGGTATATCAATAATATGTCATTAAGAGCCTGGCAGACTTGTATATGATATGTAGGCAATACTACCATGCAAAAGATAATATTCGGACAATATTCGAGTAGTTAGTCTATCGAGAACTGAGCAGCTAGAACACTCAAACAAGAAGGGTCAGATTTTACAAGATACTGATGGTTAATTGCGTTTGAAAAGGTAACTAACGATGTTAAAGCTTTATAGGGGCGCGTCCACTTGATCCAGATGTATTTGAAAACAGATTTTCCATTCCATTTTCAAAAACATTGTCGTCCACACTTTCAATCTATTTTCAAAAAGCTGCGTTTTCAAATGGCGTATTCAACAGATATGTGAGGACGGAAAGCCGATCCGCCAAAGGAAGAAAACCCTTTTTGAAAAGTGTCCGGATACATGGGAACGGCGTGGCCTCAATAGCTAATTGACACTTCTTTCTAAAACGAAGATCAATGTGTTTTCAGTTTTATTATTCTTTCTTCTTCTTCAATTCTGATAAATGGCCCTGTGTCTTGATATTCTTAAATATTTTGGAAAACTTAAATGATTAATTCTTAGTTAGCCTGCTTATTGTTTCCCTTTTCTACACTCAGATTAGCTTTGTTTTAAGGCGCTTTCGTAGAAGAGTTTTGAGAACATTTATCCACACCTATATGTGTTTTCATTTTAAAATATTAACCAATTTCGATGACCTTTAGCTTTCCACTAATTTGGTAGGAATTTTTTTTTAATCGTAAACGCACCGATGGAAAAAAACACTCTTCAGACACCAAGAAGACAATAGAAAATTGAGCCCTATTATTTTATTGTGAATATCGAAAACTGGCCTTTCCAATACACTTATCATCATGACCATAATAAACTTGATAATATATCTTTTCATTGTTAGTTACTGGTTGAAGGTGAGAAAATCGATGCACAAAAAAATGGTATAGGTGGGCGCGAAACTTTTTCTCGAAACGTTTTCGAAATGATAAAAACAGTCGTTACTATGACTTCAAACGCATTAAGGTTGACAAGACGGTGGTCGGAACATAAGCCCCATCCAAAACAATTAACATAAGCAGCTTTAGTTAAAATCTACGATTATACTTTCCAGTGCGCGAAAAGTTTATCTTTGCGTCTGAAGTCTGCYAAAGGCAGCCCGAATTCGCGTCTAAAAACGAAAAGGAAAAAGAAGGAATTCTTTTTGGAATGAAATTACAACAAAAAAAAATCAAGCATTGATACTTTAAACAATCATTTTTCAAGGAAAACCAGGAAGTTTCACAAATGCTTTATAATCATCAGATAACTATTGCAGCTTTCTTATCGTACGAACGAAAACTAATTGAGTAGGCAATCAGATCTAGTGGCGTAATGTATACCACTCGATGATAAGATATATGATGGAGGAAATTTATATGCACTTGAATCAACTGATATTCTGTAGCTAGACAATTACACAGGAAGCCCAATTTAAGATATACAAATCCACCGCTGATCTCGATCTTCCTAGTAATGGTGTCATCCAGCTGATCTGAAATAGTGACGTAGAAATGACGTCACTGCGAAACTAAGGTGTCATGAAGCGTGCGAAAATTGGCCAACGAAAAATAATTTAAAAACTGCTCTCCATTTCAATAAGAATATAAAACTCATTGAACATTATGTCCCTATTAGCAATGTTTTTCATTTGGTATCCTGGAAATTAATTATTTCAAAAGGAAAAGTGCCACCTCTCAGTTTTGCAAATTTTATCTATTCTGATTGGCTAAAATTTGTCAGTATCAGTATAAGAGGAATACTGTATTCTAACAAGAGTAATAGTTCTTTATATTAATCTTATTCCAATCCCATTAGACACAACATATTTTAACTTTACTAGTTCTTATTATGAGAGATCCATACTTAAAATAAAATGTTAAACAAAAAGAGTGTGCATGTTTAATAAACATTTCTTGAGTAAGAGTTTTTTTCAATTAAATGTTTTTTAATGGCTAACGTCATAAAAGGCTGAACGTCCGGCACTTAACATGACTAGCCAAGGTCAAATAAGAAACACCCGTGTGCTTGTGCCGATAACGTCCTTGGAAGGAGTTATTTACATATGAAGATCGTACCCTGCAGAGTGGTCCTGGGGTGCTGGTGACCGCCTTACGATGTACATGACGTGTTTTAGGAGTGGGAGAGAAGAGAGATTTGTTGATGACCCTCCACGGTCAAGAATTGATATGCCCTAGATATACTGTGGATATACTCATGGATATACAATTCAAAACTTGTATGCATCTATATATTTGACCAACTAGTTGGATTTGACTAAAACAAWTAGTCCTCTCGCCCTCATGGCCTATGAGTCAATAGCCCATTTAGGCTCTAGGAATAATTTCTAAAGATAGATTCATGATTTCCCGCTGAAACCTACTAACAGATACCCAATATATACCATGGAATCATAATATTTATATACCACACACTAAGATATATAAACCAAGCTCACGCACAAAAACTGGCTTAATTAACTGCATTTACCTTGTGAGGTTTAAAAAAAACCCAAATATTTTGAAAATATTTTCATGTATACTGAGAGGAATCAATAACAGGAGAAAATTAGAGTTACATCTTTGATACCTATGAGGTATTCCTATATATAGCGATACACTTTCGAGGTACAATTTCTTCGATTTAATTAGTCTGTTTTGAATAGGTTCATTTGCTAATGTCCCGTAGGGGGTAAGAAGTGACGATCGAGTGAGCGATAATCATGACTATTTTATTCAAGATGAAATGAGAACTCATTTGTTCATGTGTTAAGCGTCGTGCTATTGCTGAAATCGTATGGAAAAGAAATGGATTGGAAGGAAGGAGAAAGAAGTGGAAAGAGAAAAAGTATTCGAAAAAGAGAAAAAAACTGATTTTTTTTTTCTTTTTCTTTCTTTCCTTCTTTACAACAAAAAGTACTTGTCGCGTGCGTAACTATTGGCAATCAGGAGAGATTTTATCATTGATAAGAGAAACTAATTTTGTTTCTGCGTTCATGTTAAATGTTTAGTTTTCATTCATTTGACTCTTTCTAATTTATACCAGGAATATTATTACTAAGTACTTTATTTTCATTTTTTATCTATATCTTCTGTGTTTTCTTTTCCTTTCCTTTCCTTTCCTTTCCTTTCCCTTCACTTCCTTTCTTCTTTGTTCCCTTCATCCCATTCTTTCTTTCCTCTTTTTTCCTTCCCTTCTTCCTTCCATTTACCATTAGCTCCACTACACACCTCATTTACTAGTAATATCATTTCGTAGTGATAAATACTTTACTTTCATTTAAGTTTTAAAATCACCGCTTTAATTCCTTGTCTCTAAAAGTTAAAAACTTTGCAATAACACGAACAAATAACAAATAAAATGCCCTAAATTTGGAGCAAATTTAAAGAGTACAAGAAAATTTGAGCAATCTGCTAAAGATCCTATCCCACTAATCTAAATAACTAAGTGTTTTCTTTCAGTGTTTTGTTTTCTTAACTCACTTGATTGCAGTACAGTAATAAAACCATGGTTTAATAAGACTCAAGCGGCTCTTCTTTTTTGTTTAACCGACAAACTTCAGTGTTTTTCCGACTCGAGACAACATCAAAGACCCGAATAAGTTTGAAAATTCAATAAGATTTCTATGAAAGTCATCGATAAGCCTTAAAACATATAGATTTGGTAAACAGACGAAAACGTTATAAACCGCCGAAAATTATATGTGCTTTCTCCAGAATATCATGTTCTCTAATCAATTCTGCTTAAACTAACTCTACGATTTTGGGAAAATTATCATGACTGATTTTACAGCCTGGAAATACTAAAAACGAAAACACACTGAGCAAAATAAGTAGGGTTTGTCTAAATATTGACAAAACTGCTGTACAAAATTAAAACATTCAAAAAATGCTTATATTGCCTATTTTTTTATATACACCGAAGTCTTTGGTACGTGACTTCGACATTTCATTTCCTTTTTTCTTCCTTTCTTTGTTTCGCTTCTCTCGTTTTTCTTTACCTACCTACCTTTCTTTGGTTCTTTACTTTTGGCTTTTTTCTTCCTTCCTTCGTTCGTTCGATCCTTTTCCCCCTTCTCTTTACTCCATCTATTTCCTTCCTTCTCTCTCTCTCTTTCTTTTGTTTTTGTTTTCCCTATAGTGTCAATCCCAAAAACGGGCAACGAGATCTTGCTATCCAGTTGGATTTACTACTCATTTTCTCCTACAGCTAAAAATCGATATTAGTGTCTAAAAATAAATAGCAGTTATAGTAGTATAGCTCCGCACAACTCACCGGTAAATTTTTGATGTATAATCTACGCTTCGAACAACATTTTTTCATTTTACTTTATATCATTTTTCTTTTCGTCCTTTTGTTTTTTGTGCCTTTTTCGTTCGCGTTTTTCATTTTTTTCCCTCCCTTTTTATGTTTTATTTCTTAATTATACTTTATCGCATGTCTTGAAAAGAAATAACCTGGCATAACAAAGATAGTTAGTTTTCTTTTTTTTTTGAAAAATAAAATGAGAAAAAAGTAATAAAAACTGCCCCAAGTCGAAAGCAAACACCAAGATCAAAGAGAAGCCTGCACGAAAAATACCTGTTCTCCTGCTACGCTAAATTAATGTCATTTGAAGGCGATAACTAAAAACAATCAGCGGCAGCAATAAAACTGAGTCATTTTATTTTTAGTCGTGATATTATTGTGCCTTATGAACAGCGTCGTATCTTGGCGCTTTTTTAGGTATAGATAGATATCCAATTAATGAACCGGACGCGAAGCAGTTTTAATTATAATTAAAATTTTCTTTCATCGTGATTCTAGTTGCTAGGCGTTTGTGCAAATATGATTGACGATTAAGTTCCCGCTCATTTGGTGGTCTGCTAGCATAGGAAGAAGCGAGGGAAAAAAAAACAGTCAGCCTGGCAGAAAGAACAGACCTTGATGTGTGTTACTGAAGAAGATAGGCCATATATACTGGTATTATTGACTAAGGTAAGAATTTGATTTATCATTTACTTACCATTAGACTCCATACTGTTTCTAGTATATGGCTTGTGTAGAGGCTTCATTTTCTAGCTCGATCTTCAATGGAAAAGAAGAGAAAAGAGGAAAACGCATAAGAAAACAGTTGATATCTACAATAGATCTGAGTGGGAGGCAGGGTAGTGGTCTTCAGCATTTTTGCTCTCTTGTTATTCAACTACTCTATAATCACTGGGTTGCTAAACTACTAGACTTGGTTTACTTGACGTGCAAATGAACAAGTATCATTTATTACTATTTCAACGATGAATAACATTTTTTTCGGCAGTTTAATAATATTTGTGCATTATATAATGAAAAGATGTAAGTTTAGGAAACGAGGAATCCAAGTCGAAGTATGAAAAGCTTTAAATATATATATTTGAAGATGGTAAAAGATACATTACAACCCAGTACTAACGAAAAACAAATAGAGAGTTTTAGAATCTTATTTATGGCAAACGTGAAACGTCAGTTGTTCCGTGAAAAGTTCTTTAAAATTAATAAAAGGAATCGCAAAGTTATCCAAGTACAGTAGTAGATAAACAAAAGAATATTTTGCGCTTAAAACGCTTAAAACGAAACGGAAAGAGCGCACACGCGCGCAAATTGACGACGCACAGGAGTAGGATAAGGCGAAATTAAAACTGTATCCGGTTACCAAAAATAGCCCAACCGGGAATTTACATGGCGCGCGCGTTATTAAGAAGTTCCCTCTCTTATTTATGCTATAATTTGTCCCCGGGTCTATGCGGTTCGGTGTTCTTAACTTCGCCAACAGGTTTGACAAAAGAATTAAATTATTATTGAAAAGAAGGAAAACAAATGTAAAAAAGAGATTGACAAATTAAAGAGTCCGCAGATGTTTGAATCAGTAATTGGGAAAAGAGGCGTGTACCTTAAAAGTGTAGAAAGTTCTGTTCACCTGCATCTAACTCACGAGAATCTTTAATATCTGATATAATCAAACGAAAACTACCCCATATAACCGCTTTTTATCTATTTGCGATAAAGGCTGAACCTAGCCAAGAGGCTGGTAAAGCGATACTTCCGGTTGATGGCGGGTCTATCTTATTTGTACTATTTGTTAAGGGGGGAAAGAGACACTAGAGAATCCTAGCCATTTGATAATGAAGCAACGGCAAAATAACGTCTGAGCACCGGAGAACAACCATCAGAGTAGCAAATGAAGAGAGGCTATCATTTTTTGCCCTGTTTTTTAACTCGATGGAAATATAAGGGCCCATCGGTCAGTTGCTAGCGCACTGAGTGGTTCCGCCGACTAGTAAGGCTATTAAAGTGAGATAAATATAAAAGTGGTTAATATAAAAGAGAAGATACCTGAGTTTGAAACCCCTTTTTACTATTATTCGTTGTCTCATTATGCTTTTCATAATTAAGTTAACTGCATGCCCAAATCTGTTTAATAGAAAAGGCAGGATATGTTATGAACAAATGGCTCAATGCATACAAAAAAAAAAACTACGACTTGATCAATACATACAGTTCTTTTTTATCAAAAATCTAGAGTATGAATTTACTGGACTTGTGCTCTCTGCGAACCGGTGTGAACTACAGTAGGACTCGTAATAAATCAGTTACCATTGGGAAGTTGTTAAGTGGTCGCGAAATAGAGGTTGCTCGATTTATAAAGATATAAATTGGTGCAAAAACCTTCTTTGTGACTTTGACTTGCTAAATAGAGGTTGGTCGCTTAATAGAGGTATAAATCTGCAAAAAACTTCTTTGGGACTTTGACAACTGGCCGCTAAATAGAGGTTGGCCGCTTAATAGAGGTATAAATTGAAGATCAGCCACCATCGGGGAGATGTCAAGTGGTCGCTAAATAGAGGTTGGTCGCTTAATAGAGGTCGGCTGCTTATAAGAGTTTCTATTTTAACCATGTTTAAATGTTATAATGAATCTTTCTACTATGCTGCTTTTATGTCTAATAGTCCCCCCTTCGATGCTATTTATCTCTCACGCAGCATCCACTCATCTAAAAAGTGCCGGAAAGTTGATTCTTATTAATTCGTCTCTTCCCTATCAAGATAAATGGAATAAAAGGAACAAGTGGTTTGACCACACGCTGGATATTTTTTCTCTTTGCAAAATCGATAAAGTATGAATTAAAAAATCTGGAAACTTCTTATTTCATGGCGTAGTATTCGTCTTCTACGACGGGAGCAACACAGTATAATACGAGAGGACTCGCGAGGTGCTCGCGCTCGGTTCTAACTCGATGTCTGACTCGGTGCCATATGTGAGTGAAGTTGTTTGTAGGTTCTCTCTCTCTCGAGCGGAAAGGTTTTCTCTGGATTCTCCGGTTTTCTTCCCTTCTCAAAAATCAACTTCTACATTATAATTCGATATTTGGGCTTTCACTTAGTTGGAAACTAGCCATGTTGTGGTAGTCCCACGCAGCGAAACAACAGCCAAAGTTTAATATATATATTTTTAGATATTCGCAAACACGCGCGCAATTAACTAAATATGAGAAACATATATATAACTTGCAAGTATACTGCACAGAACAAACCGATCACTTTGATATATATATTTTCGTCTCGAATGTGAAATCGTTTCCGAATCTAAGATCGTGCTGCACTATGATGGAAATCGCGAACTTTTTTGTATACTTGGAGAAAACAAGCATTTATTTTCTCACCCAAACTCTTCAAAATTCTTAGAAAACGTGCTGAAATGCACGCATGCGCAAACGTTTTTCTCTAGTGTCAGCAGCGAGAGGAATGTATAGAGTAATAAACAAGGAATTTACATTTTTGATTATCTATTGATCATCTAAATAATATAACATATACTCAATTGAAGGATCATTGTCGGGTTCAGAAACATAGAACATAAAAGCTTAGACCGCAATGGCACATGGGAAATGACATAATCATTTATAATTCATTCCTTTGCGCCATCCATGCAGTCGGTTTAGGATGCCAACCGCGTATTAAAAACAGTGGATGATGCTACGGGTCGCCGGTCACAGCATACATCTAATTAACGTACTTCCCATGTAGCATTTCGGTCTCAGCTTCTATGTTCTATGATTCTGAACCCGACAACGATTCTTCAATTGAGTTTATACACCGAATTGAAATATGGAGAGCAATTTGAACCAACTATTGTTCTGGACTGACTAGCCTGGTGTTCGGGTGGAAACACAAAAGCGTTCTGACATGGCTCGTGCCGGTTTGTAAATGCCCATACAGATCGGCCGCTAATAATTTACATATCAAACGTCTAGGTTAGTTCATTTGTGTTCTACTAAAATTTTCAAGATAAGAGTGAATCTAGCAGAGAAAAATCAGGACGATCCAAATTCCTCCAAGGTCATGATTTCTATTGTGTTTTCCTCATGCATTATTAATGAGTTTGAAAACAGTTAATTTCGCGCATGCTCCCTAGAAAACGTTTTAGGCCTACTTATTGAATCTGAGAGAATAATTATAACATCAACGTTGCTATGGAAACTCTCCACCCTTTCAAAACCCAGACGGATTAATAGCATAAAGTACTCGATTTTTTATCAACGAGATGAAAGAGTCAAGTGGTCATGTTGACAAAGTGCTTTTAAAATATCCAGTTATTGCCACATTGGTTTACACAGACAGGTCATGGAAATCATATATAGATTAATAACAACTCTCGACCCTATCGGAGTGAAGAAAAGCGATAAATCCGGAGAGAAAAGGGCATAGAAACATAAGCAGTGGCAGAGAGTGGGAGAAACAATGATGGCGGTGGTGATGATGATCATGGTGGTTATGACGATGATAATTCAAAATCGATAAAACAGCAATAAAGTAAAACTTACTCGAGCAAACATTATGCGTCATATTAATTATTTATCACTTTTTTCCAACTAGTAATACCATTAAAAAATCATTATTTATTATTTAATATAATCTTTTCAGTTAATGATGATGATGATGATTTTAGATTGATAATGAGTGTTGGTAATAATTAGAATTTCGATAGATTATGATAACGATCATGAATAATAATGGTTGATACTAATAATAAATTAAATCTAATAACAATACTAAAAAAATTGTAATAATATATTAAAATGATAATAATAATAATAGTAATAATAATAATAATAATAATGATACAAGCATAACGAACATGGCATCAATAATGAAACAAAAGATAAGGGTCACTGCCCCAGAGCAAGCCTAACATACATTACGTACCAAATGTCATTTACAAAATGGCTCTTCTACTTCACACCTACAATGACTGTTGTAGGAAATTGAGCAGTGCTTTATTCGAGTGTAGTGGGCACGTAAGTTATCAATAACCCATTGAAAAGGTACTAATTTCTTATTAAGTATTAATAATATTAATAATCTAATTAGCAAAACAGACAAGGGTTGAAATGCTTCGCAAATTTCTAGGCTAAGCTGAACTGCCGTTCTAACCTTCAAGTGATATACAAATCTTATCATGCTCAAAGTTCTATATTTTTGTACAAGAGTACGTGAACTAGTATAAGAAAATGAATGAAATTGTGTTCCTGTCTGTAATAAAAGAAGTAGGAATTAATATTGCCATCTTATCGTCAATAATTCTGTGCAAATCAAGCGCTGATTACATTTGTGAACACATCTTGAAATTGACTTTTATTTCGATGTTTATCTCACGTTAAGAGAATTCCTTAAGTACGAATCAATTGCACTACGGATTGATTTAAACGTTTTATTGTATCAAAACTGTAGGATTCCTTGCAAAGAATCTTCAAACGATGAGAAAAGCGATATTGCTCCCTAGTAATTCATATAATATATTTATAACGCGTCAAAACCTTCTAAGTCTATCCCCGTGGGGGTGTCATTGTCACGCTAACATTATAAAGACACTGAAAGACAGTTTCTTACTGATCGATGTTTTACTTTTGAATTTTCAAAAAAAAAGCCTTAAACTGAATAAAAGCTACGATGATTGTCAAGCCAGAACATAAAGAGAGCCTTCAAGTTGATCAAAAGGATCTATCTGTTTTACAGACATAAATCTCCCACTGTCATACATACAGTAGGCAGTCA